AGAGATGAACAAGGAACCAGCCTTATCCTGCCGCCGCCCGCTGTCACTGCTCTAATCCCCTCGAGCACTTGTGTGAAGTTCTCCCACTGCAAAAGCTCACCTGCCATGCTTCAAGCCTCTCTCTTTATATTCTTCCCTCCCGGCATGAGATTCAATGAAGCGCTGCTCATTGGCTTCAGCTGGCGCTCATTATAATCAGATATGTTTACCAAAAGCCGGCCCGGTGTTACACCGGCACTTCTTCCCCCTGGAAACGAGTCAATATTTTTTTTTGGTTCCTAGTAGGTTCACCCGGTGACATTAACTCACCCGCCGTAGTGGCTGCAATAGTGTCCCGAGACCAGTACAGGCGATTCTCCATTTCAAGCAGCGATTTTTTGCGCGATATAACAAGTAGGGCTGCGGGCACGTTTTCAAGTTATTCATTAATCGTTAACCGAGGCCCATCGGTTAATACTCGGTGCATAGTGTGCGCGCCGCAACCTCGAGATACAGAGTAAATTTTTAACACCTTTAATAACTGATTGGACCCCATTTGAAACGAAATTAATTTATAGAAATAAAACGCAGCAAGTACGGAGCAGTTAAAGCCCATAATTCCATCACCCTTCAAACTGAAATTGCCAATTGAAAATAAGCAAAACGTCCATTTCACAAAAACTCCGTGTCTGCAAATAATAATAATAATAATAATAATAATAACCATCATCATCATTATTGTAACATTTTATTAGGCTGCATATGTAGAAGACGTCTTTATCCAAAAAAGGAACAGAGCACAAATAAACACAATATTTTTGACGCATATCCAGTGTGTGTGGAGCACGCACTGATGGCTGCGAGACGCCCATGTGAACAGTTTCATTGCATTTCTTTCAGTGGAAACAACTTAAAATAGTCTTTAATTTCTGGTCATACAGAAAATAATAATACATTATTCGCAAATACATTTATTTATAACAAGAAAACGTTGTGCTTTAACAATTAATCAAGGCGCGCTTCATGATCTCCGTGAACTGAAGCGCGAGACCTGAAACAGCCACCGCATTCGAATTTGTTCGTTTTAATTGGACATTTAAAGCTTTAGTCTACAGGGGTTATATCCTTTGTAGATTAAAGCTTTAAATGTCCAATTTAAAACGAACAAATTCGAATCGAAAGCCAATATCTTCTATGTTTATGTAGCTTAATTTCTCTCTAAATGTGCATCCGGAGATGGAGATATGTTTTTAGCCGAAAATCATTTAGAAAACAATAGTTTATTAATAAACAATTAATGCCTCGTTATTTTATATTATTTTATTATCAGACACATTTATTATAGCCTATAAATCACCCATAAATCCCCTTTCTGTAGGCTGTGGTTACGGCTCTTCTCATTCAGCACTGCGGGGAAAATATCATTTCCAGGTTCTAATTTGGCCTCAGAAAACCAGTAAAATATATATTTTTTTCATATTAATTTGTCAAATATTTTAAATGTTTAAGGGGCAAAAAAATCAAACAAATATCTGAAAATTCGTCGATATGTATAGCTATATATAGCCTATATATTGTTGCGCAGCATTTGGCATAGGCCTACAGTTCAAATTAAAATGTTATGCAATTTTAAACGGTTAATCGGTTAAACATGGACACCCCTGTGTGCATCTTGCTTCAGATCATAACGTTCCTTAACACCGATAAACTCCGCCTTTTACCTTGAACACGCCTCTAGCCCGAGCTGGCCCCCTCTGGCCCAAGGTATTCGACGGGCCAGAAATCCTGGCCGTTGGCCCTGAGGAAGCCCCGATCAAGCCCCGGAAGTGACAGTGGAAACGCGACTGGCCCTGGCACGCACTAGCACGGCCCGGCCCTGGCCCGGCAGTGGAAACGCGGCTAGTGTAATAGGCTTGTGCAACCAAACTACACTTCCCATAATCCTTTGTGGCCACAGGAGAATGATAAAAAAGGTGCAATCACACCATGTCGTAGTTACTGTAATTACAAGGTAAACTAGGAATTTCTGAGAGCTACCATGTGACCACTGCATATTCATTTGGCCGTTGATAGTGTTGCCATAGAAATGCATAATTCAGCTTCAAGTAGAACGTCTTGGTTGTCATCTCTCATTTACGGTAATTACGTCACACCGTGAATGCTGCAAAATAGAAAAAGTTCTAGTTAAACTTAAACTTCATTCAATGTAAGCCAAGGCAACATCCCTAATTTCTGTTTTGTTTAATTTTTTTTGGAGTACAATTTTTTATTCTTATATTTATGTTATATTTTATTTAAGCATTTTTCAATTAAGGCTACTAAAAAAAAATTGTTAGTAGTTTAAAAAAAAATAAAAAAATTTCCAATGCAAAATCACAAATCACAGACACTTATTTAGACGAAATTAATGCATGTGCCTCTTTTTCCAATAACATCAAATTGTTTTGCATTAGCGCTTTATTTTGATAAATAAAGTCCACTTTAGACATTCTACTAACTATACGTAATTTTTCTACTTGTCAACTCTAATTAATTTGCAGCTACATGTCAGCTAGTTACTTATAATCAGTAGAATGTTGGGGGACTATCAAAATAAAGTGTATAGTAATACTGTTATTGTACATGTAACTCACTTTAAAAAAAGGTTACACTTCATTTTAAGCTGTGCATTGTTACAGTGTAATTATACATTTAAGTAATAATTAATATTAATTAACAACTTGTACTTACCATAGAGTTAAAGTAGGATTAAGACTAGTTTAGTTGAGGGTTGGTTGCATGTAATTATGCATAATTTACTGTTATTATATGGTAAGTACATTGTAAAATAAAGTTACCAAGTCTAATACTCTAATGACTGCTAGTTGACATTTAGTTGTAAAGTTACTTAGCAGAATGTCTAAAGTGGACTATCAAAATGAAGCGTTACCATGAAAAAGGTAAATAAATATGATATTACCCAACACATCCATATCAACCTTAATCACTTGATATCACATCGCAAAAACACCTTCTAAACTTAAGTAGCAATATATTTCATGACTTTTTGTATTTCTTACTGTTATGTATTGAAGACATGGTGTGTCATTTGAATGTGTTTTTAATGTATTTCCAGGCCTTGCTGGTCATTTCATTGACCTTTGTTAAAGATCCGACCCATTTCAGATTGACCTTAGGGACTGTAAAATGCATTTTTGTGTTCCACTGCATTGCTTCCCCCCCCCCCCACCGCGATGTTAATAAGTCTACAAAAATGTTTTTGCTTATGGTCAACTTTTCTGTTCTGTATGTTTGCTGGCAATGTCCCAGGAGAAGGAAGTAAATCATAAATATTCACCTCAAATACATGTCAAATGTTTGCTCTCTCTCGTGACAGCAGGACAGATGGTTATGTCACTTAAGTCACTTTTGTATTTAAGGAATGCTAATGGTGTTTGAAAACTTCTTCCACACTGTGATTTAAATCATCTGGATATGTTATTTTCCACAGCCATCTGTTATATAACAGCTCTAACCATGTCATAATGCATTTTGGCAATTCGCATTATTACCACATTACAAACATTAGTTGATACCCACACACCTCACTGCATAGAGTAGCCCTTGTTTCTTAAGACAAATTTTGGCTGTAAATGAGCACTCATGTTAGACTGGCTGTAAAATAAAAATCCAGTGATAAAATGATTTTATATAATGATTAAATGATCATGACCAGTGATTAAATTATTTATTTTTTCACTCCAAACAGAAGATGTACTGCTAGGGGAAGTGAAAGAGAAAAAAACAGGGACCTGGTAGTCCTTCAGATGCTTATTAGATGATGCCACTCTCATTAAATATACTGTACAACCCCAATCCAGAAAAGCTGTGAAATTTCTTCTAATGCAAGAAAATCAAGAATCTGTGATTTGTTAATTCTCTTTAACCTTGTGTAACTGACACAAGTTTTAATTGACCAACTTAAGTGTATTTTGTATATATAAACAAATTTTGATTTTGATGTCTGCAACTCACTCCAAAAAAGTTTGGATGGAGGCATGTTTCCCAATGTGTCACTTCACCTTTCCTTCTAACTACACTTTTTATAGTTTGGAAATTGAGCATACAAGTTTTGAAAGTGGAATTTTTGCCCGATCTTGCCAGCAGGTCGTCGTTGTCTGATTCTCCTTTTCATGATGGGTCATACATTTTCAAAAAGAGACAGATTTGGACTGCAGACAGGCAGTCAAGCACATCCTTTCTACGATATAGAGTGCCTAGAAACCATATTAGGATGTGCAGAATGAGGCCTGGCATTGTCTTGCTGGCATTGCCCTGGCATTGTCTTGACAATAGTTTTCCAAAAGACTCCTGAGCACATGTGGCTGTATTTAACAGAATTTCATGATGGTTTCTCATGCAGTGCCATCTGAGAGCTCAAAGGTCACGCTCATTTAATAGAGGTCTCCTACCTTGCCCTACATAGACTGAAATTTCACTGGATTCCCTGAATCTTTTCACAATATTATGTATTGTTGAAGATTGAAGACTCAATTTCTTTGGAATCTTGGCTTTAGAAATGGGATTTTTGAATTGTTTGACAATTCTCTCATGATATTTGGCACAGAGCGATGAGCCATGACCCATCTCTGCTTGCAAATACTGAAATGCTGCTTTTACACTCAATCACGATCTCCCTGCCTACTACCACATACTTCTTGTGGACCATTTCAAGAGTTTGACTTGGATATTCTATAAGCTTTTCACTTTTACTTTGGCTTCTTTCAACTTTCTTGGTGTGTGTTACAGCCATCAAAAACTAAATTTGTTTGTATTTTTGTAAGTTAGTGAAAACTTTGCAAATCTTTTCTTTGTGCTTTTGCCAGTTAAGTAAAGGTGAAAGAGAATTAAACAAATCACAGAGTCTTGATTTTATTGCATTTTACAAAATGTCTGAACTTTTCTGTATTTGTAGTTGTAGATGCTGTTTCTTATTTTGGGTGGGTTATTAATATTAACAGTTAGGGTTATCTTTTCTGCAGCTTCGTATCAGGTGAAGCAGGGAACCTGTGAGGTGGTGGCCATCCACCGGTGCTGTAATAAGAACAAGATTGAGGAACGTTCACAGACTGTCAAGTGCTCCTGTTTCCCTGGTCAGGTGGCTGGCACGACGCGGGCACAGCCGTCTTGTGTGGAGGGTAAGCGCTCTTCTTGTGTGGATGTTATTTATCTATGAGGTTGTTTTACAATAAACTTAAAAGGGTCATGAACTTTTTTTATTTTTATAATGTTCTATGAGGTCCACTAATAATGTTATTAAGATTTTTACTTCAAAAAAACATCCTAATTTAGAAGTATTTAGATTTTCTATCTTTTTTTTTACCTTCTCTTTCAAACACTCCTTTTTGAAGGGCATTGCACATTCAAGACTTAGAAGTAAATGCCCACTGCTACGACTGGGTAACAGTTTTGCATATTAAAATAAGTGAGTACATGGATGCAGTCCCCACGGTTATAATTGACAAAGGATGACTCGCAGTGTTTTTCATGTAAACGGAGGAGGGGAGTGCGGAGTAGGGCTGGGCAAAACGAAGATGTCAATCAATAGAGATTTTTCTTGTTTATCTGTATGTAAATATATCCGTGCAACGCAGAACTGAAACATTTTTGAAAAATTGCAGAATGTGCAGTTATTGGGTTATTAAAAGCACAATAAACCATTCCTGGCGGAAGGCATTCTGTGGTGCAGATCTGAAGCGTATGAGTGCTGAATTTAGTTTACTTTTGGGGCTTTCTGCGCTTGAACGGTCTATTACACACACTTATGTGTCTTCCATTAATGACAATAAAACAACAAATGAAAAAAAAAAAATCATTCACTGCTCTGATTTAATTGTATTAAATGCTGTAATATAGACTATATGACAATTGTATATAAAACAAATGGATTTACCATCAACATTTAATACTAAAATGTTTGTTTTTATTGTAACTATCTCTTTAAACACTTTTGGTCTGTTGAAAAAATAAATAATCCAATTGTACATTATTTATTATATATTACAGCAAATAATACAATGACCCAATTTACCTTGGTATTATCATCCATCTCAGGTGATCCGTTCATACGTGATCTGCACACGTTACATTTATATCTGATATTAATGTCTCCTGTGACCTGATAGCTAAATAATATAGCTATATTTTGATATCATAGCCGTGTGACAAATGTGACTACACTGTCCTCTGCTCCATCTCTTCTCTATTAGCTAAAGGTTTATATTAGGACAAGAGAGTGTAGTATGGGTGATGAAGGAGGTTTAAATGTGTCCCTTCGGTCATGCAGTACGCTCTTAGTTATGAAGGCAAGAGGGCAAATGCTGGCAGCCATTTTTCTTCTTTGCCTTCTTTGACATCCGAGACAAAAGACCCCAATAGAAAGTAGGGAGGGCTGCACCAGGGGAGGTATTCCATGTTATGACTTTCATAGCTCTCTTTGACTATAGTTCATGTAATGACAAAAAAGGGTCCTATGCACATTTTGTATTTTTCACAGAAGGCTACAGTACTGTATTATGGAGGAACAAATAGTCTGATGTAATTGAGAGAAACACAACCAAAAACGGATAAAAAAGGATAAAATACACAAACATAGGGATATATTCAGATATTCATTGATAACATTGGTAAGGGATGTTGATTAATTGTGTACATTTTATACTTTAATTAAATAATGTGAATGGATCTTTCATTATTTAGCCAATTAACAAGACAAATATATATATTTATATATTGAATGATAGATTTCAGTAATACTGTAAAATATTATTGATGTTTTCTATTCCAGTATATTTTATAATGTCATTTATACTGTGATGGCAAAGTTGAATTTTCAGCATCATTACTCCAGTCTTCAGTGTCACATCCTTCAGAAATCATTCTAATACTGATTTATTATTACAGTTGAAAACAGTTGTACTGCTTAAATTCTTTTTTGTGGAAATCATGTGTCAGCATTCCATCCCCTTCACAATCCTCATCGCCGCCCACTCATTCCCTCTCACCCAATTGGACACTTCCCTGTTCACAATCCCCTGATTATTGATCACCGTCACCTGTGTCCCATCACCCACATGAACTATAAAGCACTCACTGCAGTCACTTGGCTGGTCTCGTCATTCCATGGCTCACAGACTTCCCGACTACCTGCTACTTACCTGCTTCCCGTTCTTCAAAGACCAATCCGTCTTCCCCGTATCACTGCCAACTCATCCGCAACAGAAAAAAGGACATTAATAACCAGCTAAGCTCATTTATGTGTCTAAGTCATTTGATCCTCACCTGTTATCTCCGACTGCAATCCATCTGCACAATAAAACTTATAAAACTTACCATCCCATTTGTTTCCTCTGTGAAGCCTGACAGAAGAACAGACCAAAGATGCAGAACCAGCCGGAGCCTGAAGAGGATCTCTCTCCAAACCATCAACCGGCCGATGTAGCGCTCATATCACCACCATCACTACTTCCGCAAACACCGCTATTTCGCTCTGACTAAGCCCCGTGTGGCCTTTTGATTTCATTACTGTCCGGTCCAGAGTTTCGGTGGGTTCGGTCATTGTGGGACTCCAATTCACCCGTGTTAAAGTCGTTCGCTGTCTTCAAACAGCACTTCAGAGAAGTATTTGAGCAAGCTTTGTCCAAGCTGTCCATTCTCGACCAGTTATTCAACCTTCGTCAAGGGAATTCATCAAGTTCATATGCCCTTCAATTTCGTACTCTCGCCACCTCTTGCGGTTGGAATAAGTGCTCTGATCTCTGCCTTCCATCATGGATTGAATTCTAAGATGCGCCATCAGCTGGTTGTGTATGATGACAGCACGGGATTAGAAAACCTGGTCCAGCTAACACCGGCTTTCACAGCGCCTCACTGCTTGTGATCTTGTTGAACCCACTATCAGTTCTCTGCCTCCAGCTCCATCTCCTCCAGCACCAGTTCCCATGGAAGTAGACTCCACCCATCTGTCTGCTACTGAGCGACAGCGCCGAGTACAAAATTCCCTCTGCCTTCATTGTGCATCTGATAAACACCTTCTCAGTTCTTGCCCTGTGCGTCCACCGCGGCAAGCGGTAAGTGCCATTCAGCTCACACTGAGTGTCGAACATTTAACATGAACCAGTGTGTATGTTATTACCCCCTGTGTCTGTCTCCCAGCGCAAGCCCTCATCGACTCTGGTTTACAGGGAACTTCATATCCAGTCAATTCCTTCAAAAGCTGAACATCTGGCAATGGCGATTGACTCATGATCTACCCATCCATACCATTTAAGGCAAGCCACTGGGAAGAGGTCGTATTCGCCACTATACACCCACTCTCGTTCTTCGCATTGGTTGTTTACACTCAGAGGAGATCTCCCTCATGGTGCTGGAGGAGTCCACTGCGGATATCATCCTGGGGCGCCTGTGGTTAGTCCAAAATCAGCCAGTACTCCACTGGGGAACCGATGAAATACTCCATTGAGGCGAAGACTGTCATATGTCCTGTCTCAGTTCCGTTCAGGAAAGCCCTTCTTCGCTTCAGTCCAGTTACGGATGACTCGAGAATTCCAGTTTGCTCTACTTCAGTGGAAAGCCCTGAGGTCAGGGTCGAGATCCCAGTGGAGTACCGGGCGTTCCAGGGATGTTTTCAGCAAGCAACTGGCAACCAAGTTACCACCACACCGGCCATGGGACTGCACAATCGACTTATTTACCCTCTGTCCATCCCGGAACAGAAGGCCATGGAGGAGTATGTGGAAGAAGCGTTAAACCAGCAGTTCACTTGACCATCTACCTATCCTGCCGCTTCGAGTTTCTTTTTCGTGGCCAAGAAGGACGGAGGCTTGCGGCCGTGCATTGATTACCGCCGTCTCAACTCACAGACCATCAAATTCAGCTATCCCCTTCCTCTGGTCCCTGCTGCTCTGGAACAGCTGCGTGGAGCACGCATATTCTCTAAACTGGACCTGAGAAGTGCCTATAACCTGATCCGAATCCGGCGTGGGGGGGAGTGGAAGACTGCCTTTGAGACCCCTACAGGCCACTACGAGTATCAGGTTATGCCTTTCGGATTGTCCAACGCTTCTGCTGTCTGTCAGGGATATATGAACGAAGTCCCCTGTGAATTCCTCAATTATTTTGTAGTAGTCTACATAGATGATATACTCATCTATTCATCATCCATGGCTGAACATCATCAGCACATCATTCAGGTCCTTGAAAAACTTGAGAGAGCACAAGTTATATCTGAAATTGGAGAAATGCAAATTCCACACCTCTACCTTTCACTTCCTTGGGTATGTAATCAATATGTAAAAACGATTAAGTATGTAATTGTGGCGTTCAAATGGACCAGAGGAAGGTGGAAACAATCTGGAACTGGCCCCAACCCAACTCAGTAAAGGAACTTCAATGATTTCTTGTTTTCACAAACTTCTATCGAAGATTCATCTGCAATTACAGTCTGATCAGTGCTCCCCTCACCTCAGCTCTCAAAGGCAGGCCTAAGTCTCTGTCCTTGTCATCCGACGCTGTCCAGGCCTTCCAGCATTTGAAAGAGACCTTCACCACTGCTCCCATTCTCATCCATCCCCACCCGGACCTTCCATTTGTCGTTGAAGTGGATGCCTCTTCCACTGGAGTAAGAGCAGTAATGTCTCAGCGGCAGGGTGAATCACCGAAACTCCTTCCATGTGCCTTCTTCTCTAAAAAGCTGTCCCCGGCGGAGCAGAATTATGACATCAGCAACTGGGAACTGTAGGCCATTAAACAGGCCCTCGAGGAGTGGAGGCATTGGCGGGAGGGAGCTAACCATCAATTCTCTGTGATAACTGATCATCGAAAATTGGAATACATAAGGGAGGTAAAGAGACTGAATCCCTGACAAGCCCGCTGGGCTCTGTTTTTCACACGCTTCAAATTCGTGGTATCATATCATTCCAGAAGCAAGAATTGCAAGGCTGATACTTTGTCACGACTCCATCATCCCTCCATGGAAGATGTTCATTCTGAGCCAATCCTCCCTCCAGCCGTAATCCTCAGTCCCATCATCTGGGAGACCAACAGATCGCCCAGGAACTTGCTCACTAACCCGAGGTCCAGAAGGGCGTATTTTCGTGCCTCCACATCTTCTGACTTCCCTTCTGGACTCAGCTCACTC